TGGGCAGAGCAAAGCATGACTTCTTTTTTGAAAGATGGTCAAAAAGAGATTCAGTCAACTCTGTAGGCAAAGGTAATTTACTTCAACACTATCCAGAAATCAGAAGATGCCAGAGCAGTCTAAATGGCAGAAAGCATCGTCCATCCAGGCCTCAGTAGCACAAAACTCTAGGGGAAAGTAGAATTGAGAGATGTGCACAGCTACATAGTTTAGAAAGAAAGTTGAGGGGCAGGAGATTTAAAAGGGGTAAGTTAGAATGTGGGTAATTAAACTGGGAAAATGGTATGTTGCTTGCAAGAGCTGGTAACTTTCCCCTTTCTAATTGCCTTGAATGGACTATAACAGTCATGCAACTTGCATCCTGTAGTTGGGGAAAATCCCTTTCATTTTAGTCTTATTAAAGATAGAGACACAAATTAGATTGTGCACCTGGTAGATATGGGGGCTTGGGAAGTGGAGACATCACCACCTGACAGTGAAACCATGGTGGTTATAGGAGAGGCCAGCAGCATTATCCAGATACAAATATCTACATCCAAGTTTTATTCAGAATGGTAGAAATGGATCAAAGTAGGTTAACAAAAATGCACCCATCACGTCTGTTCACTGGCATGTGGTCAACAGTAACGAGTCTCAGGAGCTGGCAACCCAGAATCCCAGAAGCACCCCACACTGATTTACTACAGAGATTTTGGCATGAGCACAAAGTTCTGGGCAAACATCATTTATTGCTCCCCATTAGGAATGATGAGGACAATTGAACTCCAGTGATTCTGGCTTACCAGGTGCTGAGGATGGATGCTATTGTACATGGGCTGGGGAATACATATACTTTGGTACTTGGGTCAACCTGCTTTGATTCATTTCTACCATTCTAAGTAAAATTTATATAGAAAATGCCTTATATCTTAAAGAAATCACAGTAAAGAAATAAAGGGAGGAATTAGATAAATAAGAACCCACAAAAGGGTGAAATCAGTGGGTGTGGGGCAGCCAGCTGGTCTGAGAGCTGGAGAGAGGCACAATGGATTTGTTATGAATTATAGGTAGATGTGAATGACAGATTGATAGCCAGATGCCTGGGACCACGCTTCTAAATAGGGCCAAGTACAGCTCACAGCTCCCCTCCTCCCCCCAGTCAGTCTCATGAAGATAAACTGGCCATGTACACAGTCAATATCCTCCCTGTGTCTGGATAAAACTCTGTAGGAGATTGATATATTTGATCGGGGAAGGGGGGAGATGGAGAACTTTAAAAATGGAGATAATTCACAGTGGAAAGATCCACTTTAAAAAAGAAAGAGAAAGAAATTTCACTGTGTCCCACAAAAGGTTAGCTACTCCTCTCCCTCTTCTCATGCTAAAGGTAACTAATGTATACAGGTTGTATCATACAATAAGAGATTGTTTTGAAATAAATCCACCTAGTCCATAAGGATGACATTTACGGCTTATCTTGCTAATTTTTCACCCGCTTAGATACTGCCTGACACAGAAAGTTGACACTGTGAAATAGAAGTCCCATCTCTGAGCTCCTGAGGCTTGCTGAGAAAGTGTCTGGCTGCTATTATGTAGATTAATTTGAGTTAGATAAATATTTGTAGCACCAATTTCAGGATATTGAGTCGTCCGTCTGCTCAGCTGTCTGGAAAACACTGAAGTCAATTTGCTTTCATCACAAAACTGGGCAAACCTACGTCCCTGGGGTGGCTAAATTGCCTTAAACAGAGGTGTTTGTATTTCAGTGACATTTTGAACCGGGTGCATTTACCAAATTCAGGAAAGGAAACCCTGGAAAGGGACAGTGACCTGCTAGCAGCAAACTGGAATTAATCCTATTTGTTCAGATTGCCAGAGCAATGGGGAAACAAATGACTGGGGTCCTGTGTGCACATCAGTCACTCCCCACACCTGTGGCAAGAGTAAATGGACCTATGGGGGAGATTTTTCTTTTAGAGTCATGGACTTGCCAAGAGAAATGATCCCCATTCAGCTTGCTATTCCTCATTCAGAGTCACGAGGCTGGCTCTGGATCAGACCTGACATGCTTAGAAATGAAGCAACCAGGATAGTGATCTGTGGACAGGACTTTCTGTGGAGCAGAGGAGAGGCAGGCAGGGTGACTGCTTGGAGCAGTTGCCTCTCAAATAAAATGCTTTCCAAGCTCAACAGCTTTTGTTCACATCCAAAGATGTCATCTCTGAATGCTTGCATTTTCCCTCAGGCACCAAAACCTTTTTGCCTTTTGGAAAGGTGTTTCTCTAACATGTCTTACCACGTTAACATAACATGGGCTAATAGGAAATCAGAGGGGACTAAAGAAAAAGAGTTGGGGCAATGGACTTTGTACCCTAGGGAAGGTGTGATCACTGGCCATTCTCTTTGTGGGTTACTGCCCAACAGAGGCTTTGAGAAATTTCATCGCAACATATGTGATGACTTCTGGCAAAATTACTACCTACAAGATATGGTGAGAGATTTTATGGCATTTAAAAATATATACATTTATAAAAAGTAACACTTAACCCTACATATTGCACCTTAAAGGGTAATTGCCTACTTTTATCTACACTTAGTCTTGGTACTGAACTAAGAGTAAGGACATCCAGATTTCAGTCTCACCTCTGTTACTTGGTTTCTCCATCTGTAAAATGGAAATGAGGTACAGTGGAGTTTGAGGACCTAAATTCCCAATCCTAGCTCTGCCATTTACTAACCTACATGTGATCTTGGACCAATCAGTTAACCTCTCTGGGCCTCTATTGCCTTACATATAAAATGGAGGGGTTGGCATCTATGATTCCAGAGGACTGATGGTGAAGCATGCAACCTACTTTTTTGAAGGAGAGGTAATGGACTCAAGATACAGAGGAAGACATATATTTTATATTTTCAGACACAGCCAATGTGGGAATTTGTTTTGCTTGACTATAAATATTTATTTCAAGGGCTTTGTTTTTCTTTTTTTTCCTATGGGGAGAGGGAAAGGAAGGATAGGAAGAAAGGAGAAAAAGGAAGGAAGGAAGGAAGCAAGGGAGGGAGGAAAGATGAAAAGAGAAAGAAAGAACAGAAGGGAAGGGAGGGAGGTAGGGAGAAAGGAAGGAAGGAAAGGGAGAAAAAAGAAAGAAAGAGGGGGGAGGGAAGGAATGAAGGAAGGAAGAAAAAGAAAGAAAGAAAGAAAGAAAGAAAGAAAGAAAGAAAGAAAGAAA